GTATGTATGTATGTATGTATGTATGTATGTATGTATGTATGTATGTATGTATACACACACACATACATATATACATACATACATACATACAATTATAATATGCACACATTAATTGAGGGGCTGAGGATTTCAGGATTGGTTTTAGCTCGTGTTGGCCTCCCTTGGTTGATAAGAAAAACTAGCTGTGCACAAGATTTTGGACTGTATTGATAATTAAGAGACTAGATTATCTGGAGCTCAGAGTTGAGTCTTGGGTACTCTTTGACTTTGCTTCCTTACTTGTCTGCAGATATTTCTTTATCAGACTAGGTAATATATTCAGTAAGGTAATTCTTTTATCTATTCTAACTTTATAGAAGAGGGGAGGTAAGTTTAAATTACAGGTCACCTTCCTTTGGGGTAAATACTACATATTCTAGCCTCATAGCTAAACTAGTGTGAAGTCCAATGAAAATGCAAACATTTCTTTTATAAAACCTGGGTTTTCCTAGTTTTCGGCTACTGCTATAGATGAGCATGTGACTTCAATGATCCTAAATCTATTGTCCGAAATACTGAGTGCTGTATCTCATCATTGCTATCACCATCACTATTCATTGGTCTTCGTGTGGTCACTGCTATGGCTGTCATTGCCCTAAATTCTTACACAGGACAGTTAAACTAAGAGAAAAAGTGGGAGTAAAAAAACACCAGAAGATTATACTCTTCATATTGCTTTCCATGGGGAAGGAAGAAATCCTATGCAGTAGGTTCACAGTGATTGCACAATAGTTGTTAATGGTTACATTAGAATGATGTCACAATGCTTCTGGAGGAAAGCATGACCTTTTCTTGAACTTATAACCATTGAGAATGTATAATAATGATATGCATATAGGAGTAGGAAGGTACTTTATTAGATATAAATGTAGGAAATTATTTCAAGAAGGGTTGTAGACAAAACAAAACAGCTGCAGACATGGCAGAGGATAAAAGAGAGAAGATTGGCATCAAAACTAATAGTAACCAAGCCAAAACAAAAACCTGTGATCAAAGGACCAAAAAGAAACTTTCTGCCACTCTTTTGTAAGTATATCATTACTTTGACCCAAAGAGAGGGAAGCCTCCCTTGTAACTGTTGGGGTTTGCCTTTCTTGGGCATTTGCCATTTACTTTGAGACTGCATCTAATTCAGTAACAGGGCCTAAAGGAAGCCCCATCTCCTTTCCACTGCATCCCAGATTGAAGGATGTTATTAAACGAGGGCCAGATATATGCATGCACACACACTTGAAAAACACAATAGGCAGTCAAGGGGTTCACTTTGTTGTCCCATGCTGTTGCAAACAACATCTTACCCTGAACTTACATGTTTGCATTTGGAAAACGGTCTCAGTTTATGTAGCGACTTTTGGGAGAGAGGAAATTTTCACTGGAATAAGGGTTAAAAGGCTGAATTCCGCATTGTTCATGGTAGTCATTTATGCATCCATGTGGTTGCTATTTGCAAAGTTTATTTCTTTCTCTTGGCTACTTAATAATTTTAGTTATTTAAGTGAATTAATGAATAGAAAGATACATATATATATAAACTTGGATTTTTGCAGGAGCCTTTTGGACACTGAGGATGAACTTTCTAGTATCCGGTGGGATTCAGTACCTATGAACGTAAAGGAGTGGTTAACAGGCACCTTTGCAAAGAAAAAAGAGGCATACAGACTGCAACCTGATGAAATAACAAGCATTCGGAGTATTTCATATGCTTTAGAGAATGGCGTTGTGGTAGAAAGGCAAGCATAGATGGCACAGCAAATTATGAGCTTTTCAGAATATGTCCTAAATGATGTAATTGATAATTAGAAAAATGAATTTCAGAATCAGAGCTGGGATTAACCAGAGTTGTTGTTATGGGAAAAGGAGGAAGGAGGAGTATTATGTATGGTCACAATCTAAGAAATAAATCTACAATAACAAAAAAAATAAAAATAAAGATAATCTAGTACAACAGTAGTTCCTTTAGGCAGGAATGTTAGGGACTAGATCCAAAAATGGTTGATCGTGTTTTTATACCTATATAACAGTGATGGTGAACCTTTTTGGCACAGAGTGCTCAAACCGGAAGGGGAAACCTGACAATTAGCTGGCCGGCATGCATGACTTGGAAACCTGATGACCAGCTGACCAGTGTGCATGTGCACGTCAGAAACCTGAGCAGCTGGGGCGATGGCGTGCATGCCTACAGAGAGGGCTCCATGTGCCACCTCTGGCATGGATGCCATAGATTCACCATCACGGCTATATAATATAGTGCCATAGGCTGTGATCATCATTGGGGCTATGTAATCCCTGCAGTTTGTGAACCTGTGCAGAAAATTCAAACTTTCAAAATGAAAAACGAATCATGTGCTAATGCAAGTCCAGCCCCTAAAATGTGTGTCTTTGAAGTGTATAAAAACCAACATGTTCTTACTTGCTATTCCTTTCTTTCTATGTTTTTGTTTGGCAAGGAATTTATGGTGGCCCTTGCACTATTTTTATTTTTCTATTGTATGATGTAGGAGATGGCCAGGCTTAACCTGAGAAAGGGGATAAATGCATCCTTAGTCATGAGTCCCTTTGCACCCACAAGAGATCTAAGTCCAGCCCACCTTGAATTCCTTTGATTCTTATCAAGCCAATTCCTATTATTAGTTCTACTATTAGTAGTTCAGATTCTTGCAGAGAGCTTTAGCTTGCAATAAAGCAAAACACTTTTGAACTGTCTGGGTTTCCTGATTTTCCTGGCGCTTGACATAATCTCTCTTACCAATGTCTTGCCAGCCCCAACTTCAAGCTAACTTCTATCCCTTGTGTCATTCATCACTTCCATTAAGAAGACTACAAGTAGTTCTTGATTTACAAGCATTAATTTAGTGATCGTTGAAAGTTACAACAGCACTGAAAAAAGTGACATTACCATTTTTCAGATTTACGACCATTGCAATAGCCCCACAGTTGTGTGATTAAAATTTGGGCACTTGGCAACTGGCATGTATTTTTTTATTTTTTTAAATATTTTTTTATTTTTGTTACATAGACAACACATACCCACAACAATAAAAACAACAACAACAAACAAAAAAAAAACACACCAAAAAAACCCCATCATCACATACAGCATGTCGTAAGGAGAGGAGGATGGAAAGGAGAGAAAGAAGAGGAGAGAGGGTAGGAAGGGGAGGAGGAAGAGCAGGAGTAGGAGAAAGGTGCCGACTGGCGACTACGCGGAGGAGAGCCTTCTCAGTAGCAGCTCCGACCCTCTGGAACGATCTCCCCGTGGAGATTC